ATTAAATAGAAATTATTATAAATATTATGCAATAGCATTGCCTGAATTTCATGAAGTTTTAAGTTCTCCTATACAGAGACATTTTTATTAGTTGAAGGGTCAGCGGGAATAACGCGCTATGTAACAATTTGTAAATTGTTCAGTATCAAGTAAAAACAAAATTACTTATGTTATTTCGTTTAAATATTATTTGGACTGCACGTAGCACGTTCTTCCAACTTTAAACATAATCAAATATCTAATTCTATAAATATATTGAGATAGACTTATAGCAAGTTATCCGCAAAAAAATCAAATGGGAAAAAGTGTTACATAGCACGTTATTCCCGCCGACCCTTCAGTTCTTCACCATAGGAAAAAAACAAAAACGCTCACTACATAAAGATGTAGTGATTTCCTCAACAATATATTTTTAAAAAAAAGAACATTTCACGATTAGACCAATACATTATGTGCTACTCTTAGCATCTAGAAGTGTCTAAAGTACATATAAAATAAAAATATTTTTTTACGAACAAGTGTTATTATTTTACATTCACATTCCATAGTAAAAATTATAATTTATTTTTTGATAGACACGTCAAAAACCTCCTCAACAATTGCAACGCCCTGGGCACATACCCTCCTGTGCTTTTCCCTAAATATATCTCTATTCATATGTATTAATTATTTAAACTCAAAAGATTGGTTCATATTAAATTAAAATTGTAGTTAGATTTTTAAATTTATCTTGTAAAATATAAACATGCATAGATGATGATTGAAAAGAAAATTATTGTGGTCATTCTTGAGCATTTCCATAGGGAAGAACTTTTCAGTAGTTATCCTTGGTCGAGTTTCTGATGCGTAATAGAACTATAGTAAGTGAACCTTAATTAGTTTAAGATTATTGTCTTAAAATTTTATAAAAAAAAAAGAAGGGAATTTAGAATATAAAGAAGTATCTCGGCGAAAAAAAGTCAGTACAGTCTTGTAGTGTTCACTTACTAAGTTTTGTAATTACTAGAAGATAATTTTTAATAAAATATTAAAAATGTCAGCTAAAATTGTTATGGTAAGCAAACATTTTCATTACATAAATGAACATATACGCATAATAATACGTATATATTTAATTTAATTTTTTGTTTTTTCTTAAATAAATTTACTAAACATTAAAAAAAATGATAACTTATTACAAAATTACGTGTATTATACATATGGCTCTTTCAAACAATTAGTATCAAATAAACAACAAAATAATTTTTAAAAATTGATAAAATCTAGAAAAAAGTAAATCTATTTTCATTTCAGTAATACATACTTTTGTAAAAAATTCCAAATTTTCGGTGTAAAGTTTTACAATTATTTATTTCTATTTGAGAGTGAACGAATAAGTTATTTTCTACTATTTCTAGATTATTTTCTTATCTTAATATATTATTTCAATCATAAACTAAAAATGAAATAAAAATTCTATACTTAAATTTTATTATTTTACTAACATTTTCAATCATGTTTTTGTTAGATCGTCTGCATGGCTCTTTTCGCAGTCAGCTTCGCTTTGCCAGCTGCACCCGAAACTATTGCCACCAATGGTGCTGCTCCAATGAAACCAATGATGGGTGTGCAACCCAAAGAAAACATGAAAACCGCCGAAGCCTCTTATTATTATGGATACTACCCATCATATGGATACCCATCATACTACTCTGGTCTTGGATACAGAAGTAATTATATAGAATTTTTGTTATTTTTTTAAAGATTACTAAAATTATTATGTTATTTTAGGTGTAGGCTACCCATACTATGGATATAACCAATATTACAATGGTTATTACAACGAATATCCAGCTTACGTACTCTAATAATTTAATATTATGGTAAACACAAAAGAATCTCTACAATTAATAAGAAATTTCAATTATTAATATTTTCAATTTTAAACCAGAAAATAATGTACTTATTTATATATACAAACAATTTATTTGAAATATAAATAAACATTTTACTTTATTTAGTTTTTTAATTTATACAAATATAAGAGAAATTTTCACATTTATAAAAGAAAGATTTGTAAAAATTTATTAGATGCTTAATACTATTTTATAAGCAAATGCTTTCCAACAGAACTAAAATTAACATTAAAATATGTTTGATGGTATCATAGAAAAACACTCACTTAAACAATTACTCCAAACGAAAAACATGGTCAATGTTGAGATATATATTTGAATCAACTATAAGAAATAATTGACTACTTATTTAAATTTACCAACTAAATTTTAATAGAAAAAACTATTATATATTTACAATTTTTGTTCATATTTAAGTGATATTTTAACACTTTTATATGTATACATTTCAATGTGCACAAAGAATTTTTTTTTGCCAAATTTCACAGCTACGAATAAAACATAGATAAGTGCCACAAATATTAATATGTACATTGGCGTCCTCTAAATATAATAAAATGTATTCCTATAGGTGTTATATTGAGCTAAATAAATTGAAATTATAAAATCGTATTTACACTTGAATATTACAAAATTTCTATTGTTCAGTTTTTACGATTAATATGTCCGAAAGAACAAAATAAAAACAACAATTAAATTAAATTAAATCTTTAAGGATTTCATTTTTAGAAAAAAATTTGTTTAAAAAAATAGAACGTATTTATTATTCAATACAAGATAAAATTGTATTCATAGATGCTCTCAGGACGATAATGGTTTAAAGATACATTTTTTTATAAAATATCTAAGGTTAAATGAAGATATACAACAGTAGAGGAGGAGTTCCCTAAAGTTTTATTAGTTCTATGTCAATTTAGTTACTCTTTTCAAATTTGTAGTGATGTTAGTGAATTATTGTTTATTTTAACAATTTTATGATATTAAGATGTAAATTTTTTTATTTTTTATATGTTAATATTTATAGAACCTTCTTTATACAAAAAGTTTGAATTCAATATTGATTATGACTATGATTATAAAAAAAAAAATTGTCTAAGTGTATCAACGAAATAAATAAAATACATGATACTTTATTATAATATATAGATAAGATAGATCATGAAAACATCATTTAAATAAGTTTTCGACTGTTAAAAGTCTACTTTTTAAAGTAAAGTTAAATTAGCATAAACCTAAATTACTACTACATAAAACTAAACACCATTTAGGTGACAGGTATTATATAAAAAATAAAAAATAATTAATTAAGATAAAATATTTTTAAAGTTAATAATAAAAATAAATGTTAACTTTGATGCTAAACAGAAATAATTTCTGTTTTGAAGTTAAATATTTTTTACAACACTGAACATAATTTTACAATTGTTTTTATTACTTTAAGAAAAGTAAGTCATTTTTTTTTCTATGTAAATTATAACTGATTTCAAAAAATTGTTTAAAAACAAAATGACGTCCTAAAAAAAAAAAATCTATAGAGACATAAAATATAAATATCGACAGCATAAAATGATGCCTAAATTAATATCTCATTTTATTTGCTGAACAATGCTAAGAAAATTTATTTACATAACTTAAGATTAAATAAAAAATTATACATTATTAGTACATTTTTTATATCATTGGATTCTCTAAAAACACATTTTTCAGGTAATTATATTTTATTCTAAATTAACTACGTTTTGAAAATATTGTTAGTTATATCATAATGGCAATTACAGGTGTAATAAGAATATAGCCCACAAGCTATACTTACGGTAAGAGTTTAGATTATTAATAGCATCTTAAATACACTATGCATAACTGAAACACTATCATTATTTTATAAACCGTTTAAAACTTTTCACATCCTTTAGAGCACTTATATTTTAGCATTGAAACAAATTAAAAATATAATATTAAACTTGATAAATTTTGGTATAAAATGTGTTACATTATTTGATATTTTAATAAGCTGCATTACACGTATAAATGGTAATTTTAAATAGAAAATTAAGAATATATATTAAATTTATTATTTTTGTGTAATATTAAAATAGCTTGTGTTACAAGCATTTAAGTACATTGAATAAAAATGTAGCGCGGGTGGTACAGTTCGTACTGGTGTAACAAGATGATTCGTGTGCTAATTTTTTAGGCTTATTTTTATGAGTACAGAAACTCAAAACTGGTTAAAGTGAAGTTAAAAACGCTGATAGCCTTCCAGAATATTTCTAAAAATATTGTCATCCCTAAAATACAGTTCAAATTACGCTTCTGGTAGATATTTAAGCATACACAGTCTATATACAAACTAGACTTAAGATGATTGTAAAAATAAATAATATATAATGGCAAAACAGAAATAAACAATTGTATATATTTTCTACTATTTTAAGATTTTATATTTTCCCAAAACAACTGTAGTTATATTGGTAAATATAGAACTTTTTAGTATATTGATTTTTACAATCTAATACAATGTATGCTGGAGAAATAAAGAGCATCGATAATAATTTAACGAATTATATTGAAACAGAAACATCTTAGTCAATTATTATCCGATAAATATTTGTACAAAAACACTATTCCAAAACACAAAATTTGTTTAATTCATCTATTTACTATTGAAAATGATATAGGATGAAAATATTTTGAAATAAGTAGATGATATACATTTTGATTTATATATCGGTTCGTGATGTTATTTAAAAATAAAAAACCTAAATTTTTATACTAATTTTTCTAAATCATTGTTATTCTATCATTAAATCTTAAATTGATAAAAATCAATATTACCTATTATCTTGTAGCAATTATGTAATTTATTAAAAAAATTTTGATTTGGTTTAATTAAAAAAATTTGTATGTTTATTAATTCGAATATTATGTATTTATTAAAAAGTTTTTCATAACTCTACCAGTTAACCTTTTTTACGTTGTTAAACATTTGAATATTGTGATAACATCAAAACTTATTTACTTGTTTGTTAATATGGACCTTATAAGATAGCAATCGATTAGAATATTAAGTATATAAAGACACTAATAAAAAAACAAAAAACCATATAATTTTGATGATAAAACTTTATTGAGAATTTTCAAATAACTTTGATCATTATTTTTAATACATCTTTTTTACAAATTATCCAGATATTATTTATTTAATATTGAACAGAATTAGAAAAAAAAGTATGGGTATGATTTGTAGATTCCGCTGTAGTAGCTATCATAGTAGTATGGAATGCCTAAATAAATAAAATATACATATTAAATAAAAGAAAACTGAATTACTAAGATAATGTATAAATTTATAGTTACTTCTGTATCCAAGACCAGAGTAGTATTTTGGGTATGCATATCCGTATGAAGGGTAGTATCCATAAGTAAGGAAAGTAGTATCAGCTGTTTTCATATTTTCTTTTGGTTGATCAACAACGGGTTTAGCAACATCATTAACAGCTTCATCGACAGCAACGTTTTCGGGGACAGCGGGCAAAGCGAAGCAGACGGCGAATAGAGCCATGCAGACAATCTAAACAAAACAATTTTTCAATTTTTTTCTATTTTACAATCAAAACACAATTAACTTGCTAATAGACTGATAAATATTTTGATAATAAATTCATAAGTAGCAAAATAAGACTTTTTAAAGTTAACTTAACAAATTAATGCTAATTCACAAAAAATTGGCAATACAATTTTAAACACAAAAGAATTATGCTATGTGTTTTCAATAAAAGTTTGTCTATTTAATAGTAATTATAAAAATAAATCGAAAAATAATTTGTTAAATAAAATATGTTATTGAAATTTAGTTCATTCTTTGTGATAAAAAATCCAAATTTCTAATATTAAGTTATGAAATAAAAACAAGTTGTGTATGATATATTAAACTGTAGATGGTTACCAAGACTAATTTGGCTGCCATTTCTGTAGTTTTAAAATGTTTTTACAAATTTGAATACAACTTTATAGCTGATTTCACACTAGAATACTGATTTTCTTTCGTTGGAAATCTTCTTTATATTTTAATTTCCCCCATACTCATAAAAAGTTAATGTTTTATGAGAATGGGTATGAAATTTATTAATTGCTAATAGACTTACTAAAAATGATAAGTTGTCCATCAAAACTCGTTTCTTTTCATAACTTCCAGAGGGTAAATTCATTATACTTAACTAGAATTATAGAAATTCCTCACTAATTCATACTATTAATGTGATAGAAAAAATAGTATGCTCTAATAACTGATCAATCAAAGAAATAGTGCTAATTAGTAAACTTTCCATAAATAATATTTTTTAATGAAGGTTAATACTAAGTTTGATTGAAACATGATTCATCAAAATCTAATGCTGAGGCAAATTTTTATTTTGGATAACTTGGTGTTTAAGTGTCCTCAATGTTCTCTTTATCTCATATTATCAAAAATAAAAGAAGTTTACTTAAAAAAATCCATCAGTTTATAAAAAGACATGTTTCTAAAAATAAAGGGTTTCTTTTTATTTTATGGTAATTAAAATTACTGTTCTGTAATATACAGAGTGGATCAGATCTAATTATTAACTCTAATTCTTTTAAAATTAAAATTTCGCTAACTTTTTTTTAAAAATTATTTTATTCTATGTATATTTTTAGTCATATTTTTTGTTAATTATTTTTAATATTAAAAAATTATTGTTTTTAGTTTTTATTTTTTTCAAAATTTCAAAATAACCGTTGTTTTAGAGCGTTTATGTACAAAAAGTTGTCACGAATTTGTAACAACCTTAGGATAAGTACTTATTGAGTTCTAAACATTTTAATACATAAATTGGTTATATAGAGAAGGCAGAATACACATATACCAATTTGAGCTGTACCCACCCGCACAACATACTCATTCTATATATTAAAATGCTTTTACTCCATAAGCACTTATCTTTAAGTTGTTGTCGGTTCATAACATTTTTTTGTATAAATACATTTTTAAAGTAACGGATAGTTTGAAAATTCTAAAAAATTAATAATTAAAAATAAATAATAAATAATATGATTTTGTCAGATAGTCTAAATATGATTAAATTGTTTTTATACATAAGAGCACAATTTTAATTGTAACAAAGTTATAGCAATTGTCAGATAGTTCTGTTTCACCTTAATATAATCTAACATATAGAATATTTTTTAAAATTATTTAATGTATTATCTATTTAATCAATTTATTAAAAATAGTAATGATATGCAATGTGCCATATTTCCTTTTAGATGTAGTTTATATGAAAAATAAAAGTCATTAAGACATCAAGTTATCATTTTGACATAATGTAAATTAACAATAATTTAGTATAATTATGATTTGAGGATACATTTTTTAGGATTATAGTGCAAAATAAAATAATGTCAGTTTCCTTAATGTTCGTATGATCATTTTTATGACTTATCAGCATAGAGGTTTGGTTGGGTTTAAAAAATATTTAAACAAATTCCATTTTTATACCTATTTTTTTTTTATTTTTAAATTTATGTATAGATAATTTAAAGATGATCTTGAAAATAACAATTAATTTTATTTTAATAAATTAATATATAAAGAGTGTAGTCCATGATGTTTTGATAAAATTGTGTAAGCAACATGATTCATTTTGGAATATATATATATATATATATAAATAATATTCTTACATTATCAATTCATTTTAAATTAATCTCTATTTTTACTATAGGTAAACATTAAAAATAATTAAATAATAAGTTTGAAAATATTATCTTAATTTTATTGTTTATGAAAAATAACTATTATTTTTTGCGTTATTCTGTAATAAGGCTACCACTGGAATGGAACATTGTAAATACTATTATTGTAAGGTAGGGTATAGTGGTGGTAGCCTGATACAATTTGTTATCAATTAAGCATATTATAGATTTTCCCTTGGCCGGTTTTTTAACAAACCCATTGGCTATTATGATAAACATTTTTTTACAAAACTGGAGGGAATCGACAATAAAAGGAAGACTACCTTCGAAAGAAAAACAGTATCGTAAAGTGATATTGAACATTCAAGTCGTTTTCGTATTTTCAAAAGTTTTTCAAAACTAGAGAAATGGCAGTAAAATTAGTTTTGGTAAGAATAACTAAAACGCTATAATAATAGTCTCATAACTAAAGTTTGATAATTACAGATCGATTTGAGATTCGATTTTAAGTATAACTGAAATAATAAAGAAAATAATAGACAAATTTAATAGTTTATATAAAATATCACTCCATTAAATATTTAAATACTAAATATTATGACTTTCAAATCCAATATTTTGTTTAGATTGTCTGCATGGCTCTATTCGCCGTCTGCTTCGCTTTGCCCGCTGTCCCCGAAAACGTTGCTGTCGATGAAGCTGTTAATGATGTTGCTAAACCCGTTGTTGATCAACCAAAAGAAAATATGAAAACAGCTGATACTACTTTCCTTACTTATGGATACTACCCTTCATACGGATATGCATACCCAAAATACTACTCTGGTCTTGGATACAGAAGTAACTATAAATTTATACATTATCTTAGTAATTCAGTTTTCTTTTATTTAATATGTATATTTTATTTATTTAGGCATTCCATACTACTATGATAGCTACTACAGCGGAATCTACAAATCATACCCATACTTAATTTAATTTTGTTTAATACTAAATAATAATATCTGGATAATTTGTAAAAAAAATGTATAAAAAATAATGATCAAAGTTATTTGAAAATTCTCAATAAAGTTTTATTACTAAAATTATAAAATTTTGTGTTTTAAATGTATATCTTATGTATGTTTATTCAAAATATACATATACACAATCATTTAATTGTTTGTTAACTAATAAATACTAGTAAATCAGTTTCAGTGTAAAAACAAAAAAAAATTGGTTTTACTGTTGATAAGTTATCCACAAAAGTCCTATGTTAATATTTGTTATAAAGGTCATTAGAACCATAATATTGTAATACACGATCTTATAATTATAGTATTAATATATCTTTTCTTTTACTTGATCATCCGAACTGAATATTTATTTTATTTTGAAATATGTATATGTTGCTGAGTAACAAATCTATACTCGTGAGATGAAAAATACTATTTTAAACTTATGCAGAAGAGTTGACGATTTCAGTAATAGTTTAAATGCCCTATTTAATATTTAATACTACCACATCTTTAAAGCTTTTAAATTATTTGTACAGGGTTATCTATTATGTTTTGATAAATGAAATAATTTTTGATATTGAGTATCTTGCATTACTTTTTTTTTAATTAATGTTTTACTATAGTACTCAAAGTATCATCAAAAAAATTTTTGTAAAAAAATTTAAAAAAAATTAAGGTAGATATTTTTGAAAGTAAATTTTTAACAAAATATTATTAAAAAAATATCTTATTAATGTTTAGTAGTACATTTCCTGTATTATTTTAAAGTTTGTGAAAATTTGAATTTAAATGTGTTTATTTTACATTATCAAACTAGAGCTCTGTAGGTTTGGTTTGAACGGAACTATATCACTGTTCGGTTTATAAAAATAAAATTTTTACAGCCCTAGTTTCTCTCAATTAAAAAAATTCTTGTCTTTTTTTTTTACCATCTTTTAAAAAATTCTATTGTCCCGCTCTATCCTCAAATTGAGAAAATGGTACACATTTAAAAAGTGTAATATTGTATACTTAATTATGGAATATTTGTAGAAAACTAAAGTACATTGTACTTATAATAGAATTATGTATGTGAAATAATAAATAAAAGTCATAATTTTTATCACCTTAAATATAAGTGTGATATTTAATGTTCTAACGCTCAATAAAAATAAATTTCACACTCAAGATGAATTTTTTAAGATAATGACTCACGCGCTAACAGAATTTCCAGGGACGAATTGTGAATAATTATTTTATATATTAATTAATTTTGTTTTAAATTTATGACCAAGTACTAAAACATTTTTTTTATAAATATATTATATCGAAAGTTTTTTAATATGTAAAGTTCCAGTAAATTTCAGTTAAACTCTATCTAGCCAAGTTTCATTTTCCTTCTTTGTTACGGTTCATTCAACATTTATTTTAATTAATATTTTTATTTTGAACGGTTTATATTTTTATTTAGTCTCGTCCAATTTGGTCTAGACAAAATGTTTTATATAACAGTCCTGTTTAGTTTGATCCGCTTAAAACTTTTATTTGGTCCTGACTTTATTTTAATTTTTCAAATTGGTTCTCTCTGGTACTTGAAATTTAGATCATACACAGACTTCTATATGAAACATTGAAATATTGTATTAATTTAAAAGATGTTATTGACTATACTACAGAAAACTTTACTTTAAAATTTTCATAATGAATATCGTATTTTACAGATTATTATTGCCAAATAATGATAAAATCAATAATTATAAAAACAATGTGATTTAAAAATATCAATTTATTTACAGTCTAAGTAAATTTAGTTTAACTTAAAATATTATGAAATTAATTGAGCTCTTGTAATTGATAAGAAAAAAAAAAAGTTCTTCGACTTATTTAGATTGGTTGCGATCAGGCCCCTTAGTTAAAAATATCGGTGACCTCTGTTTTTCCAATCCGGCACTATTGCCGAATTGTAATTTTCTAAAAACTTAGCACTTTTTGTAACAAGTAGTTAAAAATCTGAGTAGCCGAAGTGTTATAATTCAAATTTATTAGTAATAATATTATAATTATAAGATTAACCCAAAAATAATTAAAGTGAAATGTTTATCAAACTTAAATTTAAAGATGTTTGAAAACTATTAAACTTGAATGATAATTTTTACACAACTTTTACACAAATTTTATATAATTTTACCAAATTTCACACAACTCTTTTAAAAAATCATCATCGGATTTTATTAGAAAAAATAAAAAAATAAATTATTTTATTTTATTATTGATTTAATTTTTTTATTGATGATTAAGCATTATTTAGCAATTACCTGAAAATCTAGATGTCGTGGAAAAAATCTGAAATTAGATTCAGAATCAGAGTCAAAATTTTATAAAGAAT